AATTGATTACAACTTATATCCAAAAATTGAGTTCTGCCACAAAACAAGAGGTTGTAGCAAGAGTATTAGCAGATATGGATCCAAATTCCATTTTGCTGATGGAAATTCCTTCTACCACCCAGCCCATGGTGAGAAGCAACAGAACTGGTAGTCTAAGGTCTAAACCACAAATGATTCTCCAAGTAGATCAAGTCTTGTAACTTAACTGTTTTCTCCATCTGCCTAGGTCCCAATTGCTACCTTAAAGCTGCTGCAATTGCAGCACAAACATTTGTTCAGTTAGTTGGTTAAACTGATTAAGAATCTTTTGATCAACTAAAAAGGCGCAGAAAAAATAGGCAACACAGTTTTCTTAGGGAAAAAACTATTGTAAAATACTTAGATCCATGGTCGTCAAGCAATCCTTTGTAAGGGGCATAGCCCTATTCTCTCATATAATGGAAAAAATGACTCTTCTAAAAATGGCACTTGCAGCCACCAGCACATACTTGAATCACAAAAAACAAGCCAAACAAACATCTTCAAAACTAATGTTTTACCCATCTGCAGATGTATGAAATGTAATCCACTCATTAATCACCTACTAATCACCGACTCATTAATTACCTACTATTTCTTTAATCAGATAACAACCCTAGCTGTAATAGAACTTCAGAGTCCTCACAGTGCTGACTATTTAATGCAAAGGAGGAATGACAACAAGCCAGTGAGGTGGATTAGGCTGAGAGTGTGTGTCCAAACCAAGTTCACGCAGCACATTTCCTATGTGGGAAGTTGTAGTTATTTATCCGGGGAAGACTATAATTTTGTAGACAAACAAACAGCCCTCAGTCTGTGTCAGGATGCCTTCTCATGTTCTTGACCAGCACATGAAGCAACTTATGTACAAAAGCTCACAATACCCAACCATTTCATGTTTTCCCCTGGGTCCAAGGCTCAGAACACTGAGCATGAGATTTCTGTAATGAATGTACCACAGTGGTTTGGGGGAGAGGTGAAAAGGTTAGCTGCATCAGGTCAAAAGGACAACAGAAGGCATACAACTGCTGAAAAGCAGTGAAAACCCTACATGCCCCCCCATGAAGATTCAGTATACTTGAATTTAACAGCTCGCTCGCTCTGTAAACACAGAAACACAGCTTGCCCATCTTGTCTTTAAAAGCATTTCACTCACTCATATGAGGTTTTTTCCAGTACCAACCCACCCCAAACTCCAATTTTTCCTTCAGAAAGATTGGGGGGAGGATTTCGAGAGAGAGAAAATCCACAGGTTTTCCAAATTTTTCCAGTTTTTTGGGGGCCTTCACATCTCTATCTGTTAACAGTTGTTTCTAAAAAATTATAATTCATTGTATTCTTACAAAGACGTTGTTTGTCAGTTACAACTCCTTGCTGCCTTATTTTTTACCTGCACAGAAGTATCAAAATCTTAACTACCACTGTTTTGATGCATAAACTCTTGGAAAAAGCTCTAGCCAGGCAAAGATGTAAGGCCTGGAATCCACAGTTCAATGCATCTGTTTGAGCTTCTGAGCCAACAGAAAGTTAACTTTGATGTCCATTTGGTCTCTCTGGGAAATGTATTATACGACCGATCAAAAGTCATATGGATTCAAAGTCTCAAACAGCCAGGGTACATTTTACCTGAAATTGTATTGAACATACCTATTTGTTCATGGCAGACATGAACCTGGTTAATGGCTATATTTGTGCACTCTCACACTCTTTTTCCCTCCCTTAGATTGAAGACTGAGTCTTTAACTCCAGTTAGATGTTATGTCTGAATGTGGGTGCTTGGACAGACCAGAGTTTCCACCTTCCTCACAGAAATGGGATTTATAGCATGGTTTAATCCTAGATTAGCGTCCCAGTTTGTAGGAAGATACAGACATCATTTAGCCAGGCACCAACATTCGAACATCATGCCTAACTGTACTTAATTGAGCATTTCTGTTCTCAACATCCATATATGTGGTGGACGGAGAGAGGAAGCACCACTAGCCACATTCATGCCAGTAACAAACAGGCTGAGGTTTGTTTCTGATGTGTGAATGCAGCCTCAGACTTTATTGCTTATGTGACCAGGACACTGTGACTGGACATCCCAAACACAGAGTTCGTGTTCTGCTGAGAAGCTCCAAGTGCACACTTGGAAAACAGATCCAAAGCAATAGATTGCAGAGCCGATGCCTAGTTTACTAGCACTGAGGAAGCAAAAAGAAATGCAGACTTAATACCAGTGTTGATTTGTCTGGCAACAGCTTCACCTCTTCCCCTCACGCCTACCACTTAAAAGTCCAGAAATGCCAGCACATCCATTCCTTAGATGCATAGGGAAAATAAAGTATCAACAAAGAAAGCTTTGGTTGCATAACTATGTGTGCACCTTCAACAAATTTATGGACAACAGCACCCTATTTACACTTGGTTTTAGTGGTCTGTGAGACACTTGTTGAGATGTTGCTTTTGAGAATGCTGATCTCTACACTATAAAAACATAATTATGTCAAGTTTAAATTAGTTATTACCACCTTAATCAAATTGTAGTATATTAACCAAACTGGTCAGGGTATTTGATGTTAATGGCATTGCATGCAAAAGAACCATTGACTACTCCTAAGAACAAAATACAAATTATTATTTGAACAGGTGCAATTACAAATGTGCATTTGTACAGTTCTTTGGAAAAATTTTAAATGTGTGGGAATAGAAAACAGCCCAAAGAGATTATGAAAAGCAAACCACACGTAAACATTGCTGCCTGGATATACCGTATTTTGAAGCAACCAGGGCTTAGAACAGCAAACAATTGGAGATTATACACATTCAACTTACATTCTAGCTAAAATTTAAACATTTGCAATAATGGGGTTTATAACTTGAAACTTCAGCATGGCTCTGCATCACATCCTTTGCATGAGAACTTTACTGTATAATTGTTTAGCCACTTATTAAACCAAATCAATACAGAAAATGTTATTTCTGCAATTGTTTTTTAACTGTTACTGTACCAGGACTATTGTTTGGTTATGTTGGAAGCAACCTTATAAAATACCTTGAGTGCACACAATCATACATAACCCAGTTTGCAGTTAACAAGGTTTATGATAAAGGGATAGACAGAAAAGGAAGAAGCTGACAAATTTAAAACTCTACTGAACAGTTACACTTTTTCATTGTATGCCCTACTATTACATACATTTCTAAAAAAAATGGTGGGGAGTGAATCAAGGATTCAAAACAATTGCTTATTAAAAACCACAACTGGAAACAGCTGAAATAAATACTAGTTATAACAATAAAGACACAGCATTTCTCATATAGTATAAGAACTGACTATAATAAAAATGCATAGACATGATTGAAAGGCATGAAACCATAACTTCCTGGAAAACCTAATGGCCAAGTATTAATGAAGAGAACCTGGAGAAGCAAGTTGCTTTCCAGATGTTTGAATGGAGGAAAGTCCAAATTCATATATGAGGGGCAGTCGTTTCTGTAAACAGAGTAGAAAAGAATGCATACATCCTAAAGTAAGACATACTTAATCCTAATTAATTCAACAAGAATTACACCCAAGTATCCACTGCAATGCAGCCAAAGAATCATCTCCTAAACTAATGCTATTTGCAAAAGGGCATCCCAGTGTAAACTCTGGAATGGAAAAGGCAACGTTATCACAGTTGACTATAATAAGGGCTGAAATTTTTGATTCTTAATTAAGGGAATGATTATTTCCTTCAGCATACTGCTATAAAATAATAGAGAAGAATTATGGCTCATATTCTTTATCACTTTTACAAGAATTAGGAGCACGGGGAAAAAAGGTCATGACTGCACTTTGGACCAAAACATTGTCTCAGAGAAAAAGGTTATGATGACCTAATCCCCTATTTATTTGAAAGATTAATTCATGAATAAATCAGCTCTGCACTGAATGCTAACTAACCTGGTTGGTGAAGTTGGGCACTACGGTCGGGGGGGCGTCATCTTCTGGAAATTCCAGGCCCGAGAAACGTTAAATTTGCGGGGACCAGGACATTTTCGGTGGCGGCTCCTACTTGGTGGAAGGAACTCCCGGAAGAGATCTGGGCCCTGCAGGACCTCTCTCAGTTCTGCAGGACCTGCAAGACGGAGCTCTTCCGCCAGTCCTTTGAGTCGGAGCCGCCACCACCACTATTCCACCTTTGCCCCCTATGCTCTGGCGTATTAACATCATTTGCCTGGCACCCCAAGGGGGGAGCGAGGCGCCTGGGCACAGCTTAGATGATAAGATCTTAGGAAGTAGTTTGGAAGTTAAGGTCTACCCATCTTGTCTAAATCTGTTTGTAAATTTGTTATTGTAATTTATTGTTTGTATACTATGTGTTTACTGTTTTAACCTCGGCACATGGTGCCCTTGCTAGCCGCCCTGAGCCTTCGGGGTAGGGCGGGATATAAATTCAAATATAAATAAATAAATATAAATAAATAAATAACCTGTATTCATAAAAACAGGCTAGTCAGGATCTGTTTGCAACCTTTGCTCCAAGACTTCCTGCTCAATTTGTTTGTAAATCTCAGCAAGTATGATACATTTCTAAATCT